TAAAACTAAAAATTCTTCCCTGTTTCCTCCCCTCCCCCCAAAAAATGAAGTAAAAAAGTAACAAGTTTATATTTTTTTTACTTTTTGTATGTACAAAAATGTGACCTCGGTTTAAGAACATTAAGTTATTACTGTTTCTATAAACTCAAAAGAGACTTGTAGTGTAAAACAAAATTATTGTTATAATGATATGTTGTTAGCTTTATTTTAGGACATTGTGATCTTTAGGTTTTTACTGTTTGTCAAAGCAATTAAAAAGAGACTCATGACTCAAACCAAGCATACCTAGGCAGTAGTTCAGCAACTTCAAGTAACTCAAATAACTTCCCAAGCCATAAAGAAATTGTTTAACTGCTCAGAGAAATGAGGGGAAAGAAGGAAATAATTAAAAGAGCTGAAACAAACACTAAACATCACTAATTTTTTTCAGAATGGTTCAGAGACAGGCTGGGGAAGGGAAAGGATAGAGTATATAACTTTAATTTGTGACATTCTGCCAACAGAACTTTACCTGTGGGCTACAAGAATGCTGCCAAATGCAAGAAAGAGGCCATGTGCAAGAAAGCAAAGCTGTTTTTATTGCTAGGACCAGGCTGACATGCCAGAGTTTTAGCTCAAAATCTGTATCTTGCAATTTTTGAGAATGGCTCTTTGTGATTTGGATGTGTAACTAAACAATAACCAAGTTCTGACAAGAGCAGGCAGAGTCAGACTGGAAAAAACAGGGTGAGAGGGAGGGATGTAATCAATGTTACAACAGCTCTCATACATAAACTGAAGTGCTTTGTGCAATCCTGACCTTAGTGAAAAACAGTGTATCAAGTACTTATATGACAATACCTAGCATTTTTCTTATTTCCCCTTTCTTGTTTCAATTCTTGGGATGAATCTTCATTGGAGATTTCCTCAAAGATGTACTCCTGCTTCCTCTAGGTGTGCCAAGATAGCAAGAAGACTCAAGTGCCTAGGCAGCTAAATGCTATCCTGTGCATTTAGATTAAAAGTGCCTCTTACGCCAACGAGAAAGTAGAATCCTGAACATAATAAACCAAATCTTTTCCATAAGTGGTTGCTTCACTAAATATTGACAACTTTAGACACAATGTCCATGCTTATAATTAGAACACTGCATTGTTGCTTCAGAGAAATAAACCGTCCTGAATGCCAAGACAGAACTATTCTGAGTTTTCCTGTATAGAAGAGTTTCCTCCACAGACTTCAGTTTAACACAGCTGTAGGGGTAACTGCTCGCTCCCACAAGAGAAGTGGTTCCATTCCTTTCTCCTTCCCTCTTTGTACCAGCAGCAGCTCTTGCTGGGGCATTCCAGAGCCAGTTAACGCAGCACAAACCACTGCTGTCAGATTGGGTTCTGCCTGTTCAGCAAGCTGAACTGGCTCAGTGACACATTCCACAAGCAGCAGGCTGAGCACAAAGGAGGGCACAGGCAGATCTCCCTCTGTAGGAAGCTGCCAGCTGTCAGTCACACCTCTGGCAGGACACACAGCAGCCCAGCCACTCCCAAAAGGTACCGAGGGTGGGGAGCCCCTCGCTCTGACTGCTCAGGGGACAGGCTGGCATGCACAAGTGCCACATATGCCAAATGTAATCTTACCGCAATACATTAATTACTGTCAGAAGTTACATATTCTGAAAACTCAGTTTCCACTCCCTGCATTCATCTTCCTTCCCCTTCAAATGCCACATCTCAGTTGCTTACCTGAGAAACTAGCACACTATGTCCCATATATTTCAGCAAGGGTGTGTCAAAGAAAAAAACCCTGTCATTCACAGCATAGTGATTAACTCTAAAATAAAGTTCACTTAGACATAAAGGTTTGGAATCTTCTTAAAAATGTGATGTTTCACAGGAGATGTTAATGCAAATTAAGTAAACTAACGTATTTTAAAAAGAAAGGAAACTTTGTTATGAAGAATACAGAAAAATCAAATTTGCCACTAAGTACAGAACTGACAATTAACACTGGCTAACAAACTAAAGCTGAGCCCTTGAAAGAATTCAGAACTCCTGCCTCAAATAATCTCAGCACACATGTTTTCCCTGTATTTAAGACTGAAACCTTGCACACAATCTGTAATTACAGATTGACTGCAGCAGTTGCCTCAAATCCTTGATACAATGACATGGGATTTGACACAACCAAGCTACCACCTAGATAACTTAGAAGTGTGACCACTGTTCCAAACCTTCTTTACAACCAATTTCATGCAACTACTCTATTGATTAAGATTACTGCAGAATGAGGATGTGCCACATGTTCCCAAGGCTGGATTAAAATATAGTAATAGTCATGCCAGTTAAAGACTGTATAGCTGAGTGCCAGCTTGGCACTGATATTAAATGGCTTTTGAGAATACCGCTGATAATATATTAGGAACACTTTTTCCCACAGCACAGAAATGATGGATGTTCAGGATCCCCCTTGACTGCTCAGACAGCATCAATCCAGTGATTTTAAAAATACAACCAAATAAAAAAGCCCAACACCATCACTAAAAAAAAAAAAAAACCCAAAAACCCCAAAGCAAACAAAAATTAAATTAACCCCTCCAACAAATAAACACCACCAAAAAAAACCACCAAAAACAACCAAAAAAAGCCAATGCATAGCAATATGACTTTAACACTGCAACTCCTCATACTCTGATGGTTTTCACAGAGTTATCTCCCTGGTCCTTCAATGAATCTGTCCTTAAGGCCTGGGTTTGGAAGTTTTTATTCACTGTCTACAGTTAATGAGCTCAAAGCCACAAATTTTTTAGTTCATTTAAAATACTGTACACTAGCATCAGCTCTATATATAGCATGTGTGTGCAACACATTTAAGAAAAAACCTTGTGAAATTAATGAAATAAGTAATTTCTGTAAAGGAGTAATTACGAAAATTATGTCCACTTTTGAAATTGGAAAACAACATTTAATAAACCTCCTGCTCATTACATAAGCACAGAAGAAAGTATTAGCTAGTCATAATTTTAATTCCAAGTCAAATGTCACAATAGTTACATGTAAATGGTTTCAGGAGAGAATGTCTAGATGTGCGTCCTTCAAGATCCCATTCAATTAGCAACTGCTACAACTGCTGTTTAGGAGATCTTATCAGCCTTCCAAAAAGATACCTGATTTCACAAGAACATTTTGAATCCCACAAATTCTAGTAAAATGTACAAAAAAATTCACGAAAGCAGTGTTATTTTCCAAAAAAACTCATTAAAGAATGTATTTGCTGACATCCTCACTTGTATCATTTTGAGTAAAACTGAGTGTGCCTACTAAGATCTGTAACTAACCAAATTACCACAGCTCCACTGCAAGTCACCATAATATGCAAAATTAAGGCTTATTAAAAAAAATTTCAAGTTCTGGTTTTTTTCAACACATTCCCTCAAACTAGCTATTTCCCTGAGCTACCAAAGATATTAACACAGAGAGGAATATCATTAATAAATACAGGACAGATTAAAAGAGGCACACAGAATGTCATTACTACATGAAGTTACAGAAACAAAGTAAATCCTTTATGTGCTACCCAAAAGAGCAACTTTTAAACAAATTCCAGTACACTATCAGAATCATGCAAAAAGTTATTTAAAAAACTACCTGCTTCTGCTCTTGAAAAGACAAGTTACAAGCTTCTTTCATTAAAATATCCATTATATATGTTTTCAGATTGCATACTCATCTGCCCCCCACAAAAAATCAAATTAAAGTTTTACAGTTTAACCTAATATATTTCTGAATTACAAAAGTTGAAGGAGATAAGACTGGGTAGAAAAGGTCATTATGTGGAAGCTTTTCTTACATTTTACAATGGTTTCATTCATTAGAAAATAAGACAGCATTGTACATGAATTGAAGGCAAAAATAATTACACACTTTGCTCACATCCTCAAGAGACAGGTAGAAGAAAGGTCAATTTCTTCAATATAAACGTTTCCTCTTCTTCAGAGAAGCACAAGCATTACAGCTTTTTTCAAAATGCATATCCAAGAGATGACAAGGATTTACTGCCAACTGACAGGTCCTGACCTCCCACCTCCTTTTTCCCGTCCTCTCCCTTCCCAAACTGGCACAGGTACTAATTTGGATCAATACAGCTTATTAATTAGCAAATTCTTCTTTTAATGCCCACTGAACTATTCTCTCACATTGTCTGACCAAAATCTAGATTCTTTGCTGTTCCCACTGTAACCCTCTAGCATGGACTAGAACATTTGTTCCCACCTCCCAAAACAGAAGTCAGGCAAAGCTTTCCCAAACGTGTAATCCTGTATTCTTACGCAACTATGCAAAACTATTTGGTTTTAGTCACACTAAGAAATAGGAAGGACCAAAAAAAAAAAATCAGCATAACGATGCAAACTGTCTGGTTTTAGTCACACTAAGAAATAGGAAGGACCAAAAAAAAAACCAAAAATCAGCATAACAGGTGGGCCTTGCTTTCCTGCACCTCTAACACAGCCTTCAAGATGATGTGATGTCAACCAGGAGAAACTCAGCATGAGCTTTCAGACATGTCCCTAGCACAAAACAGTGACAGGTTTTGCACTGGTACGTCAGAGGTTGCTCAACTGCCCAAAGCGAGAACACCAAAGAGCTGATTTGAACACCAGCAGCTGGAGGCAAGAAACAATTTAAACTTTTTATTTTTTCAAGAAGAAAATCACTTACGACCCACCCAACAAATTTTCATTTTGTAGATCAGTTCAAAAAACTCCCAACAATTTTTATCACAAAAACCCTTCTACTATCAGAGCTATATTTTTATGCCAATTGGGTATTGCAACAGTGTGTAACTGATGTGAAACCTCTCTATAATCAATAAAAGCTTAAATATATTCTTCCTCACATAGAATCATACAAAGCAAATTTAGGAAAGGGGGAGAGGCTGGGGTTCTTTTTCAACCAGAGTCTCCTCAAATAATAGTTGATTTGCAAAAACTCACTGGAATGTTTACAAGAAGTAAAACATTTACTTGCCTCTACCTCCAAAATTGCTGCATCATGGCTGTCTCTGCTCTTAAAGGAGACCTGAAAAGCAAAAAAAAATTGGGCTTGTGCCCTATTTTGCTTCTTTAAGATGTTTGAGAGGCATGAAGAGTTGGAATTAGGGTTTTTTTTTCCCCTTGTGATAGACATGAATTATTCCTTCTTGTTTACACTTGAGACTAAAATTATTTCAAGAAGCCATAATATAAGACAACCTAGTAAAGGAAAAACAGTGCAAGAATCAGCAGAAGCTAAGTCACAGAAGACAGAACAAACTTTTTTTTTCCCCTCACCCCTACTTCTTCAAGTTCTCCTCCATTTGGGTGATGAATAACACAAAATCCTTTTCCAGAGTTAAGCATTCTTGCACTACCAGTATTTGTGATTTGCACACAAATGTATGTTTTAACACTGTGCATGCTAAAGAAAAAAAAAAAAAAAAACAAACCAGGGAAAAAACCCCAGAAATTTGACTGAGGTTGTATTTTCAAATTTTAAGATGAAAGATTTTAAGATGAAAGGGGAAAACTCAAGTCCTTTTCAGAGACTCTTTATTGTTCAAAATAAGAAAAATAAACAAAAAAATAATAGTTAGAAGTTCTCTGCAAATGGAAAAGAGTGAAAGATCCAGGAACTGGCTAGCTATAAAACGGAGACAAACATGACTTTCTCTTCCACTACTAATATAGCCTTTAAGACATTTCCTGTATATGCTGTAGTGATGCAGTTATCAGAACAGAAAAGCTGTAATGTATGTCCTAAGAATTATCATATTTCATCTTATACCAGTAAAATAAAATTAAAATTTATGCTAGATAGATGCAAAGGAGCAAAGAGTATAGTTTATTTTAACTAATGCCCATTACCGCTGGGGCAAGTAGAGTAGCTCATAAGTATTAAGTGAGATGGGATGGCACCATGTATTTCCATTCAAAAAAATTGTTCAAAGCCCCTTCCTATTCCTTCCACCCTCACTTCAACTATGTAATTATCATATATGAAAAAGGAAAGTCTAATTTTTTTTTGTTTTTGTAAAAAAGGAAATTTAAAATGCTGCTTATGAAAAACATGGAGTCACCAAGAAAAATAAAAGCACGATTCCTAAAAATAAGGAAAATATATCTAAAGTACATCCTTAGAAACTATTTAAGACAACAAATTCTCATGAATTATAGATCACTGAAAAGCTACACTCAACCAGTACAGGGTTGTAGTCAATATTTTAAGCCAAATCAGTGAACTGGCTGAAGGTTCTCGTCATTACACACACGGAACATGATCATCCTGAAATGCTAAACCAACATTAGATAGGCCAAAGACCTGAGCATCTTTACCACAGGTCTGTTACTCAACTCAGCTCTCTGTTATCAACAATTATAATATTACTTCTCCAACTGCAACACGCAAAAGGCACCAATTCAAACAATACTGGCACTTAAATAAAAGCTCCAATGGCATAATTAAAAAGGAGTTATTTTGGTTTGTGGGTTTCGGGACAGTTGGTTTCTGTTTGGGGTTTTTTTGGTACCTTTTGCTTTTGTGGTTTTTTGGTTGGTGGAGGGGGCATGTTTGGTAGAGGTTTCTTTTCTCCCCATATACGTATTATCAACAGAGAATGGAACTAAATAAAACCAGGAAAAAATAAACAAATTCCATGTTTCTTTAAAATATTGGGGAAAAGTCTATTTAAAAATGAACTACAATTAAGAAAATGATGTTTCATTTAGAAATTACTTACAGAGGTCTATAAACAATCAGATTTCAAGATCGATCACACAAAAAACTGTTTCAAAGCTATGAAGAAAAAAAATCACAAAATTACTGATTTTTTTTTCCTCCTTTCTGTTGAACAAAAATTATTTTCCTCAAAAAGTGCTTACTTTTCTGGGAGAAATATATGGTAACATAGCAAGCTAGAAGTCAAAGTGAAAATATTTTAATACAGACACTCATGTATCTCACATCATAGAACGTGAAGGTGAAGTTCAACTTTGCAGGTTGAGTCTATTTAACAACCAGCTGTCACTGAAAATAGCAGCCCTGACTCTGCTACTTCCACTGAGCTGCCCCTGCTGCTCAGACAATTGTGCAGGGGCCAATTTAGGAAACTCACAAACTCAATTGACTCCCGAGGATGCACGTGAAGCAGTGGGAACAGATGTCCTAGGGCCTTTAATGGGAACTGACCATCAGATCAATCCAAACATAGTGCCATACCACACAGAGAAAACCTTCAACAATTTGCAATAGAGAGATTTTTGTCCTCTGAGAACTACTAATATGATTAGAGCTCAGGCATTACTCTGCTTAAGAGTGTGTGAGCCTCTTCAATCCTGCATAATTTGACTCAAATTTAAGTAAAGACACTTTGAATTAAATTCTAATTTAAGGATACCTGTGGTTACTTCAGTATCCATGATATCACCTTCTTAAGGCAAAGTGCATTTATATAGTGTAGAATCACTTTAAGATTACCAAAAATATGAATGATACGAACATATTACTTTTTTTTTAAATTATGTTTTTAGTACCCTTTTTACTGTGCAATACATAGTACATATGCAACTATTTATCTTGATACCTCTTCTGTCTATGCAATTACCTCATACAAAGTATTAAATCCCATTTAAGTGTTACGGAACAAAAGTGCCAACTGACTTTGGGGGAAAAAAAAATCTAAGTAATCAAGTCAAATCAAGTAAAAATCGAAGTACCTCAACTATCAATTTCAATGCTATTCTCCACAGGAATTTGAAATAAATTGCTTTTCTGCTGTAATTTACAAACAATGCTTAAACTCTATACTCAAACTTCTTGCTGCAGACAAGGGAGAAACACCTTCACAAAAAAGTGCTTGCCTAAGTCAGAAAAATCATCAGTGAAAGTTGAAAGATAGGACTTTTTCCCTCTGCTAGTGAAGCACATTTTAATTATTCAACAAGCTACTCTAATGCTCAGCAAGAGCAAAACTGAAGTTCCCAATGCAAGTTCCTCATGCTCAACTAAGCATATGCAGTGTAACCCCGTATCCTCCCTGTTCTGCCCCCAATCCTCACCCAGCAGGCAGAGTTAATATGATTTACTCCACTTTTGTAGGATGTCACATTCTTGTGATGGGGACAAAAAGGTGGAAACCATCTGCACTAAAACTTTATTGACTGACTTAGTACATAACATAAACTATTTAGCACACCAATACTCAAGTTTCACAAGGCAAGGAAGGCGTACATTGCAGTTGCAGTGTATACAAAATAAAAAGTAGGCATAGCTCATCATCTATAAAAAAGTTAAAGGAGACCAACAGCATGAAATACACAGACAAATCAATGGATCAGGAAAGAACATCAGAAAAAAAAAATGAGGTGGCTCAAAGCGAGATGGGATGTTTGTATTTGGGCACTTAAACAGATACAAACTCTTTTAATAGCTTGCTCTAACATGATATGACATGCAGGATAACACACCTACTGGCGTTTTAAAATATTGCCCCATTTTAGACAGGAGATGTTATTTCATTACTCTGAAGATACCAACAAATAACCTCTTAAACCTCTGACGATGCAACAGTATACAGAAATGCCACAAATATTCAAAAACACAGTAACAGTTTTTCTAATATACCTATATAAGAAAAGGCACAAAGATAATGAAGAATTACACCAAAAGATAAAGTTTGCACTGTATATGTTCACGAAGAGTCCAAAGACCAGCAAAATCACCTCTGAATAAGCATGTAATATCTGAAACTCCAGGTTTCAGAAATCATTAGTACAAAGCTCCACACTGAGCTTTTCACTTTGTACAGTTCAAATGTTGCCTTTATATACGGGAATAAGCTTGGGGTTTTTTTGGTGGTATGTCACCAACCACACACAGTCCCAGGACACTGAATTCCACGCACTCTGCAAGTCCTCTATGTCCTAATGTTCACCCCATCCTCCAAGTAATTATGTGTCTCTTAAGACTATTAACCACTGTAAATGCTGGTATGAAGGACTGAGTGAACAGACTAGAACTGAAATATCTAGTTTGATATGTATGAAAAATCTCAGAGAAAGCAAGAAACTGTTTATCATCTTAGAAAATGTACTTGCAAAAATCACAGATCAATAAGCATTAGGAAAAAAAAAACCCTTTTGTGACTATTGTCACAATTTTCAGGAGACTTAACACCTTGTTCTCAGTTTCCTCCTGATCCCTCAGGCCTAATTTTATTTATCTTATACTTACTGCATTTCCCGTTGGCTGTGTTGCCTCACTTCCTTTTTAATAACTGCCTTTCAGAGTCTCAAATTGGTTGCATAGGTGAGGATACGTTACTTCTTTTTTTTTTTGAAACAAGCAAAAAAATCTCCAAAAGCCCTGCCTGTTTAAAGGAAGTTTAGTTTTTTAGTTTTTCTAATTTAAGGCCAGTAACAAGACATATAACAAAAGACCACTACTCTAATCATTAAAACTCCTTGATGAATACTGCTCAGGATTAATGATGAACTGGCTATTACATGCATGTCACACAGCATGACCAAAGTAACAGCATTTAATGTATCAAGAAAAAAAAAATTCTACATTATTAAGATTTTAGTTCTCTGAGATTAGATGTAAACAAACCACACTGGAGTACCAAAATTTTAGCTTGATCTTTACCAACAAGCTGTTTTCATTTTAGCATATAGGAATGTATGAAGCCCATGAAGCACAAAACCAGATACAGGGGGAAAAAACCCACAAACACATAAAATGCAACTCGATCACAGAATTGTTGTCTACTTCAGCAGCACAGACACACACAAACACACTGTATATACATATGTACAGGTATAACAAAAGCTTTGTGATCTCTGGAAGATTTTGATAAATTAGACTGTAAATTATACTACATTGAAATTTTATTCTACACATCTTACCCATTATGCCTCTTTTTGTACTTAAGTTTATGTCCTAGTTATTTTTCCCAGTTTTAGAGACTTTGACCAAAAGGAATAGTCAGGATGATTTAATCTGGCCTTCAATATATCATAGGCCATTACTTTTCAATAGAAAAA